TTGAAGTCACTGGGGATTCTTATAGTTTTTCTAGGACTAATAAGATAGGATACAGGGTAAGGCATCTTAGCTCCTGCTCCCACACAGAGAATGTCACAACTAAAAGAGACCATGACTAATCTCTCCTCTTTGTTGCAGCCAGAGGATTTTAGGAACCAAAACCAGGCCCGTGCTGACATCTGATGGATGTGTGGTGAAAACTGATTGTGAACTCACCTACATATGTAAACAATCAAACGTGTCAGAGACTGGTGAGTTGTCACGTAGAAAGTAGGACCTCCTCCTGGGATCCTTTGATGAAAGGATATATATATTGATGGGATAGGTGTACCTCGAGGGGTTCCAGAACAATTCAAAGCTAGGAATCAGATCGCAGCTGGGTTTGAATCAAGTATTTTCTGGTGGTCAACAATTAATAAAAATGTAGATTGGATAAATTATATTTAATATAACCAGCAAAATATGTATAAACCACACTCGTGATGCAATAAAGGGATTGGCTGAGCAGACAGAACCAACTAGCTTAATGACATGGCAGAATAGAATAGCTTTAGATAAGCTTTTGGCTGAGCGGGACAGGGTTTGTGTTCTGTTTGGATCTATGTGCTGTACTTTCATCCCCAAAGAATACAGCACCGGAAGGGTCCGTGACCATCACCACGCTGGCAAACGAACTGGTTGAGAACTCAAGTATTGATAGCTCCATAAACGGTTGGTTTGATAACATATTTGGTAAATGGAAAACTATTATTGTAACTATTCTGGGTGAAGTTATAGCTTCTATGGGTATACTTGTTCTTTGTGGATGTTGTCTTATTCCCTGTGTCTGAGGGTTGGTGAGAAAAGGAGATGGAGAAGGTGGTTTCCAAACAGATGGTGAGATACGGCCCAATCCCGGACACCGACCTAAGGAATTAAGGATATGACCTACCAGACTTGGAGGAGTGACACCCTAGAGGGTGTCTAAAGGGGGCCACAATTTACTTCCCTGTTTGTGTTTTATGCTTTATTAATCAAGCTAACCATTGTGAATGTTTGTCTTTCCTTATGTGAAGGTTTGAAGTTCCTGGGTGACTGGTAGCCAACCGTTTGCAAGTTGGGTGTAGATGGAAGGACTGAAGGCCTTTTATTATCATAATTGTCTATTAATAAAAGTGTGATTCTTTTTGTTTGTATTGTATTTTAATGAGTGACACCCTAGAGGGTGTCAAAAGGGGGATTGTTGGGTTCTATTTTTCTCATAATTGGATCTGTATGTGATGAATAACTTAGAAGGAATGCATTAATGATAAGCATAGGTTTGTACTATACTGATATAAATTGTTTCACATAACAGGCTGTGATTCATGTAAGGAACGTTAGGGGGTAGGTCAGATAAGACTTGTATTTCTTACAGATACGAACACTCTCTCTTTGATGTCTGTGAAACCGTCCTTGAACGTAGGTACATAGAGTACAGATTGGGTGCTGACTCTACAGGTTATTATGATAGCAGCTTATGCCTGGGAACGGTGGAGCGCCAAGGGGTTGGGACTAACCCGTGCGCCAACGGATTGGCTGAGTAAAGTCTAAACCACACTCAGTCCTTTACTCTGATTGGCCAACAGAAGAGGTGGGAACTCTCTGTCAGAGTATTTGAGAAAGAATCTGTAAACAATGGTTTAGTTCTCTGTCTGCCCTGCGTGGTTTTTCAGTGAGCCCGTATACAAACCTTCATACTTATCATACATACATTTTGCATGTAATAAATTAAGCTTGGATTGAAGATCTCTTGATTCTTATTCCAATAGCAGATTTGAATTACGCAATTTCTAACACATCCTTTATTTGACAAACATGAAAAGAGCAAGGAGCACACGAATGTGGCGCAAGCCATTGCTAAGCTAGCCGAGAATAAATGTCCAGTCGCCCACTTGCCAGATGGCGAGACAAGCTGAATGAAGAACAGCGGCAAGCTCTGTTTAATATTTATCTCCTCGCCTTCCATAAAGCTAAACACGCACGTCCCATGTCTTCCTATTCTGAGGATGTTCCTTTACTGAAGCGGCTAGGAGTAAATGTCGGAGGTGCATATCATTCAGGTGAAGGGGGCACACGGATCATGCAGAGCATCGCTCACACCATCATCGGGGAGTTACGAGCCAAGTTGCAGTCTGCTGAATTTTGGGGGCTGCTTTTTGATGGATCTGAGGACATCACAAAAACTGAGCAGGAAATCATTTACATTGTGTCTGTGTCCAGCAACGGAGAGTTTACTTGGGACTTTATTGGATTGAATTGGGTGCTGACCGAACCGCGCAGGCCATAACAGACGGACTTGTGAGACTTTTCCAGGACACAGGCTTGGATGACTGGACAACAAAGTTGGTCGCTGTGTGCACAGACGGGGCTGCTGTCAATCTACAACGGCGTTGTGCCAAAACTCTGGCAACTTGCTGCAGTTGGAGACTCCCTTGTGCACATTCTGTGCACCGCACACACACTGGAGAATTGCGCGAAATCAGCTGATCGCAATGTTCCTTACTGTGAGACATTTAATCGCTCTGTGGTCAAGCTGCTGCAGTTTTATTTACAAAAAGGTGGAGCAAAAAAAACTGCTGCACTGAATAAGCTATGTGAAGAAAATGGGATCTCCTTTGTGAAACTGGGTAAGTTTCATAATATCAGATGGTCTGCATGGAGGCATGGAACACTGTTAAAAATATCAAGACTATTGCCAGCCATTAAAATGCAACTGGTTACGAGTGATAACAGTGACTTGCAGCATATCTGCACAGAGCGTTTTCAGTGCTTTCTGTCAAACATGCTTGACATTTGCAACATTTTGAAGACCACATCCATTAGGTTTCAGAAGGAAAAGCTGACCATTGAACTCATGGTGGCCATTGGACAGTTCACACTTCTGCTTGATGGTGAAAGCCACAGGTCACACACTGTTTCCAATGCTGATGCTGATGCTGACAGAGACAAGACACACTTACTCAGGGGGTTAATTGAAGAGTTTGAAATCAGATATGACTCCCTCAAGTCATGTGATCATTTCTTACTATGTGATCCTTCAACATGGCCTCAGTAAATGCAAGACCTCCACAGTTTTGGAAACACAACAGTTTGCAGCATTCTCAAGAAATATGAGGCCACCTTGCAACTTGACAAAGATACCACTGTGACAGAATGGATGCGCTTAAAGCAGGCAGGAAAACGCTTGGGAGCCTCTTCTGTAAATACAAGTAACCCAGATGCTTACTCCAAAATCAACAAGGTGGTTAAGCTGTCTCTTACACTGCCTTTAAGCAGTGCAGCTTGGGAGAGGGGATTCTCACATCTCAACATAATAAAAACCAAGTACAGATCTCGTCTGTCACATGCTCGTCTCTCAGCCCTGATGCACATTCACCTGTTAAAGCAGACCACAGAGACATTTGACCCAAAGCCTGCTGTTGACCTGTGGATGGAGACAGCTAATCGGAGGCTCAACCAAAGACAGGGAGGTGCATCTGCAGCATCTTCATCATCTACCATGCAGGAAGCTGAAGCAGAGGACAGTGGGGGCGACACTGAAGAGGACAGTGGTGGCGGCACTGAGGAGGACAGTGAGGAAGACTGCACTTATTAAGACCACGCTACATATGGGGTGAGTACCAGACACCATCTGCTGGTCACTGAAAAAGTGATGTGCACCCCTGTCTATATGCCATATTTTTCTAACTGTGCTCTTTCACGAAAGCTCTCAACCTATAACCTATATACTTATTATGGACACAGTATGCTTTACATTAGTTATCTTGTTATTAGTTGTTGTTATTAGTCCCATCCTTCAGCTCCATTCAACACCTCCCATCTAGCTCTTAACACCACCCATAATGGATTACTATTTGCCATATATTTTTACATTTTAGTCATTTTAGCAGACGCTCTTATCCAGAGCGACTTCCAGTTAGTGAGTGCATACATTTTTTTATTTGTTTCATACTGGCCCCCTGTGGGAATCGAACCCACAACCCTGGCGTTGCAAACGCCATGCTCTACCAACTGAGCTATATCCCTGCCGGCCATTCCCTCCCCTACCCTGGATGACGCTGGCCAATTGTGCACCGCCCCATGTGTCTCCCGGTCGCGGCCGGCTACGACAGAGCCTGGATTCAAACCAGGATCTCTAGTGGCACAGCTAGTACTGCGATGCAGTGCCTTAGACCACTGCGCCACTTGGGAGGCGACATTTTTCAACTGTACTGTGATGTTTTACAAAAGTTCTGAACCTTTCTATTCTCATTGTTTCTACAGATCGTAAATTGAAAATAAACATTTTTGCTAAAAGTATTATTATATTATTGATCGATTGACTATCACCCAGTAGTGCTATCTGCTATCTCCAGGTAAATATTGCAATCCTTTAGCCATCCCTGGACCTGTGTCCAAAAACAAGCTACAAATGGACAGTACCAAAACAAATGATCTAATGATTCTGTCTCTTCGCAGCAAAATCTGCAGAGCTGGGTAGAACATTATTTGTCTTTCTGGAAAAGTTTTTCATTTATTTTTCAAACCATCACAATGTCAGGGAGACAGTGACCAAAAATGTCTCCATAAAAGCTGAATTATTGTGTATAAAATGCAGTCAAATGAAGATAGTAAATAGTAGTAAAAAATTGTTACAAATCATAATAATCCAGTATAAAAACAATATAAAAACTGTAATAAAAATACAATGATAAAATCCTCAATCAGAACAATTCACTTCATTTTAAATATACATATAAGTTTGCATTGGTATTAATGAATATGTGTATAATCTATTTCTATTCAATACATTCTTAGAAAAAATAGTTCCAAAGGGTTATTCGGCTGTCCCCATAGGAGAATCCTTTTTGGCTCCAGGTAGAACCCTTTTCTTTCCACAGAGGGTTCTGCCTGGAATCAAAAAGGCTTCTTCAAAGGGTTCTCCTATGGGGACAGCAGAATAACCCTTTTGGGTTCAATACTTTTTTTTTTTTATAAGAGTGTAACCATTGTGAGTTTTTGACCGTTGTGACAGTCAGACTTAGTCTGGTTGGAGTGGTGATTGGAGGGTGTGTATGTGAGGAAGGTTGTGTCCTCTAGAGAAGGTTCCTCAGCAGGAAGGAGAGGGCTGCCCCTAGAGACAGACCCAGAGCCAGGAAGAAGGTCATCAAGGCCCCTGCTGTCTCACAGTCTTTAAACCTCACCAACCTGGGAAAGAGAACAGAGATCAGGACAGCTCAGACACTGGGGAACATGATGCAAACTGCACAGATTGTTATTCAATTTAATTAAACAAAAAATGGTTAATGGAACAATTTGACAAAACCGTTGAACAGATTCCAGTAGATATACATTCTGTGACTCACTGAGGTGCGTAGGACATGCAGAGACAGATGAAGTATCCATTGGACACGGCGAATAATGTCATGATGACGACGAAGGCAACGTCGTGGGGGAACAGGACGGGCAGGTACTGCCGGTTGTCAGTTTTGCACAGCATGATGAGGGGGATGAAGATCACACGGGACACCACGAGCACAGGGAACATACGGCTTTTCTTTGAGGGCTGTGGACAGATAAAGACAGAAAGACACTTTTAGGCAGAGAAACATACTCTGAGGCATTGGATCAGCTATTTATTACTGGTAGTAAAGCAGACGGACAGAGGGCAGAAATGTCAGACTCACCCACTGAACCATAGAGGTGACACTGCGGCCAATCAGGTCCATGACGTTAAAGACGATGAAGCAGCAGACACAGAGAAAGTATCGGTCTGAAAGATACAGATGTAACGCAGATGTCCAACCACAACTGGACATTATATTACTAGGCAATTATGTATTATTATCCCAAATGTTTGCTCACCCCACTCCTTGTTTCCATACACACTCTTCACATTTACTGTAACAGCAGGGAAAACTGACAGTGTGACAGCCAGCACACATGTCACACAGAGGGCCATCACCCAAATCTGTACAACAGTAACAAAGTGTTAGAGAAATGTTTGAGAAAAAAAAATGGATTTGAATTGAGATTTGAATGACAGTGGGATTCAGAACAAGGCACCTTTTTGAAGACTGCCAGGACAGATGATCTGTCGTGACTGTCAGTCTGCTTCATCATGAACAGGGCTTCTTTGGTCCCACTGGCCTCTAAATCACCACTGGTTATTATGGGTTTATTGTTGTAGCCATTCATGTGACCATTGGCCAAAGCTTCTTTTTCTTTGAGAAGAATATAACAAACAATGATAAAGACAGTGACAACTGGTTCAAGCATTATATTGTTTTTAAAACATACTGTAACCATACAAGTATATACAAGTATTAAGGAAAATCACTGCCCACAAATGAATGAACTATTAGTAATAATAGCTTCTCTATATGGTATATTGTATATGGTATTTGTTATTAGTTAAGGATGGAATATAGTGTTCCGTGAACCTACCTGCACTTTCGAGAGGCTCGTTTGTAGTCGCCGGTTGGTCATGGTGACTTTTACTTTTCTCCAAGTAAAACTGGGCAAACCCCTAGAACCCAACACAAAATGGAATGAATGTCCTAAGCAATAGTACTTGAACTGACTATTACGCTCTTGTCATGATTGGTGTAGCCACTCACCAGGTGTGGCAGTAGTAAGTAGCTGAGCAAAGTGAGCAGAGTTGCCACACAAGGGGTTATGAAGTACCCAAGAGCAGCACTGGCCTTGTCTGCTTTACCTACACAGAGAAACTCAGCATTAAATAGAATTAAAAGACAATTCCATGTAAAAACAGAGTCAAATCTATCCTGGCAGGCAGAGCTGAGATGTTTCCCACCAAACAGGATGTTGTGACCAGTTATTCAGTTGAGTGAAGCTGTCACACATGTTTACTACAGTTTGAGCCTGCTCTTCCAGTTATATAGTAAACATGTGTTTTGTGGGGTGTGTCTTAAGCCTGTTCGGTGTTGATCCCTGTCAGCATCAAACAACTGTGTCCATGCCCCTATAAGCTGGGCTCTGGGCCCATCCTTACTGTTTGCAAACACAGTACCAGACTTGCAAACACAAGTAAGGCATTTTGAATAACATTGTGAGCAAATGCCTTTAGCAAAGACCTGTTTTAGTGAGCCGGTTACTATATTAAGGACATCATGCTGATTGAGTGTGCTTGGGTGTGTCATTGTGTTCATTGTTAGTGAGGTGATATGTTGTGTGTAGGGAAGTGTAGTACTCACTGAGGATAGAGAGCAGACTGGCCAGGGCAGCGAAGATCCCTGCCAGTCCCTGACCACTCATAAACAATGTGCTGTACCTCGGGGGGAGCAGTCCCACCAGCCCAAACAGACTGCCCTGTAGCACTGCTCCAAAAGCTAGAGAGGGGGAGAAAGAGGGGATGTGTGAGTATTTCCACATCAAATCTAATTGGAACACATTTTCATCAGGCAAATAGTCAAAACAATGATGCTACTTATGATGATTCATTATATAATATGGGATCCATAGAGACATGAAGGCAGGTGGGAACCAACTCACAGTTGATGAACCAGATAGTTGCCATGGTAATAGAGAAGAAGCTGTCGGGATGCATGGGCACCTTGACCATAATGGCCGTGAGGAGGAAGAGGAAGAGGATGGAGACCAGACTGACAGCAATCCGGACCTTCTCTTTGACACTACCGCCACACAGGGAAAAGAAGGTTGGGTTAGACCACTATGCTAAACTATACCTTCCATTCAAAAGGAGAGGTGTTGAATCAACAGTAATATACATAGAACACTGTTATTATTATTATTATTATTATTATTATAACACTGTAGTATGTTGCTCACCACTGATACAGGAAAGAGTTGGCCAGGGTGAAGAGGAGAAGGGGCAGCTGGGCTAGAAGGGTCATAAAGCTGGCAAATTTGTAGTCTTTAGTAACTGGGGTCGTTCCATTAGTAACTGGGGTCGTTCCATTAGTAACTAGGGTCGTTCTGTAACTTGATGTGGTCCCTTTGAGTCGGTCGTCGAAATACTTCAGCAGAAAACAATGGGAGAACAGAGGTGACATTAGCTGAAGCCCCCTACTCTTATCATACAGCAAACTAATATTAGACAGTATGTTTACCTGAAAGTGTAATATTCAATCAGTTAAAATGTTGTTTGTGGTACCTCAGTGGCAGTGTGTGTGTGTGTGTGTGTGTGTCTGGTTGTGATGAGGTAGAGGAGCTGTGTGGTACCTCAGTGGCAGTGTGTGTGTGTGTGTGTGTGTGTCTGGTTGTGATGAGGTAGAGGAGCTGTGTGGTACCTCAGTGGCAGTGTGTGTGTGTGTGTGTGTGTGTGTGTGTGTGTGCGTGCGTGTGCGTGTCTGGTTGTGATGAGGTAGAAGAGATTTGTGGTACCTCAGTGGCAGTGTGTGTGTGTGTGTGTGTGTGTGTGCGTGTGTGTCTGGTTGTGATGAGGTAGAGGAGCTGTGTGGTACCTCAGTGTGTGTGTGTGTGTGTGTGTGTGTGCGTGTGTGTGTCTGGTTGTGATGAGGTATAGGAGCTGTGTGGTACCTCAGTGGCAGTGTGTGTATATGTGTGTGTGTGTGTGTGTGTGTGTGGTGTGTGTGTGTGTGCGTGTGTGTGTGTGTCTGGTTGTGATGAGGTAGAAGAGCTGTGTGGTACCTCAGTGGCAGTGTGTGTGTGTGTGTGTGTGTGTGTGTGTGTGTGTGTGTGTGTGTGTGTGTGTGCGCGTGTGTGTCTGGTTGTGATGAGGTAGAAGAGCTGTGTGGTACCTCAGTGGCAGTGTGTGTGTGTGTGTGTGTGGGTGTGTGCGTGTGTGTCTGGTTGTGATGAGGTAGAAGAGCTGTGTGGTACCTCAGTGGCAGTGTGTGTGTGTGTGTGTGTGTGTGCGTGTGTGGTTGTGATGAGGTAGAAGAGCTGTGTGGTACCTCAGTGGCAGTGTGTGTGTGTGTGTGTGTGGGTGTGTGCGTGTGTGTCTGGTTGTGATGAGGTAGAAGAGCTGTGTGGTACCTCAGTGGCAGTGTGTGTGTGTGTGTGTGTGTGTGTGCGTGTGTGGTTGTGATGAGGTAGAAGAGCTGTGTGGTACCTCAGTGGCAGTGTGTGTGTGTGTGTGTGTGTGTGTGTGTGTGTGTGTGTGTGTGTGTGTGTGCGCGTGTGTGTCTGGTTGTGATGAGGTAGAAGAGCTGTGTGGTACCTCAGTGGCAGTGTGTGTGTGTGTGTGTGTGGGTGTGTGCGTGTGTGTGTGTGTGTCTGGTTGTGATGAGGTAGAGGAGCTGTGTGGTACCTCAGTTGCAGTGATGAAGAAGTTCCATGGCAGCAGTGTTCCCATTCCCAGGATGAACATGATGACGGCCACAGCACAGCCTCTGTTAGGAGAGAGAGGACATCACTCACATCCCACATAGCAACCACTCCTACATCAGCTGGTAGCACTGCATTTTAAGGTAGGTTACTATTTCCACTGGTATTTATCTTGTATTTCATCTGAATTTATGTGGTAAGAATGGGTACTTTCTAGTTTACTTACACAATTGGTAAGTACCTGGTACTAAATTGTGCCTAATGATGCTTAATGTATCCCACAGAAACAAGTAATTTCTAGTTTTTGTACTGAGTAATTACCGATATATCATGTCATTTCTTATCTGATTCCCATCGACCAGTGCTCAGATGAACGAGATGGTTACTAAATGAGGAAGCATGTGAAAGCTGCTCCCTACAGGTTTTTATCTCAGATGATTCAAACTCACCGGTCCACAGGGGCATTCTTCTGGGTAGTCATCCTGATACTCTTGACTCTGTTCACAAACATTGGACAGAGGATAGCTTCAGAACGTGTCACTCCTTTAAATACTGGAGTGTAGAAAATAACCACAGCAAATCCCCCTGACTCTATTCTAATCATATTTCAATTCCATGAAAGTTCGATATCAGTCATCTTTGACAATAAATAACGTAATATTTTTGCTCTTGGTGATTTCAGCATGTTCTAAAGTCAAAACTTAAAAGGACACTTGAAACCCTACCTCTTTAAGGAATACCTGGAATAGTATAAAGTAATCCTTCTTCAACCCACCCCCCATAAAAAAATGTTTTTAAGGTGGTTGTCCCACTGGCTATCATAAATTGAACGCACCAATTTGTAAGTCGCTCTGGATAAGAGCGTCTGCTAAATGATGTAAATGAGTTAACCATATCCAGTCCTCTCCCACCATCATTTCTACAACGTAATTTCCTTGTTTTCTGCCATGTTCAGAAGCTGGTTGGTTGCTCAGTATAGACAAGGCTACCTACCGAATTAACAAGACTGTAAAAAATAAGAAGAAAAAAAGCCTACCACATGGCTTCTAAAACTGAAACTAAGTATTCAATGACACACTTTGAGATTATATGAATATTCTTATACAGGATGTTAGACCAATACAACATCTCAATATCAACTATTTTATTACTGACATGAAGAATAATATTTTCCATTATTACTTCGGCTAATACTGGTAAATTATCCTATTGGCATTAACTTCAGGTCACAGCCTATATAGCCTTAATATAAAGCTCTAAATTAGATCTAAGAAATTAGATCCTTCCCGTTGGACTATAAAATCCTGGGGTAGCCCAAACCTGTCGACTCACACTCACCTGCCTTATGCTTCAAATAGAAAATGTAGTTGATTCATCGAATTATATTGAATTAAATCCTTTGTGTCGGGACCACGTGTGGCTCTATTCCTAGAACACCACGTTGAGGATATGACATGTACAACGATGGTAGCAAGTAGCTACGCTTGATACGTAGGCTGCGCATGTCGATTACTGGCACTCTTTTATGTACAGACCCATTGAAAGGATGTTTGGCTTGTCTGCATTGTTATTGCGGGCTATTCATTTGATTTATTCTAACAGTTAAAACATGTAACAAATTCAGCAATACAGCATCTTCTTCAAAACTCAAGCAACATGGCAGTCGTACTTGAGTGAAGACATAAACTAGACGGTCATAGAAGAAGTGCCCTGAAGCGGCACGATTAAATTAGATAAATGAAGCACAGTTATTCTTAATTTCTGACTCACATTTCGTGAAACCTTTTAACCCTCCCGTTGTCCTAGGGTCAAAATGACCCGCCACTGTGTTGAACCAACTTTATTTAATTTTTATATTTTTGGGATCATTTGTGAGAAGGAGGCAGTGAGACTTTAAAGAAAGTCTCACTGCCTCCTTCTCACAAATGATCCAAAAAATATAAAAATTAAATAAAGTTGGTTCAACACAGTGGCGGGTCATTTTGACCCTAGGACAACGGGCGGGTTAAAACATTTCTCAGCGAATAAAAATGTTGCCTATAGTTGCGCACCTCAGCCAGGGCTATTTGAGCTGTTCTTACATGGTTATATCACCATGTAAAAACACAGCCAAATGAAGAAAAAAAATGCCTACAAAATAATAAAAGCAACGTATGTTGAACATTAAACTCACCAGTTAGAGTCGAATTGTTTAGTAGCTGGTATCGTCTATGCCAAAAGCGATGCTCACAAAACGCGCTCAATGAAGTGAAAGTTATTCAAAATTTAGCGCGAATCAGAAGGATTCGCGCACAATTTTTATTACCAGGCAGCAAGAGAGCGCCTATTGGCTGTTGGTTTGTTCAGGGGTGGAAAAAGTACCCAATTGTCATACTTGAGTAAAAGTAAAGATACCTTAATAGAAAATAACTCAAGTAGAAAGCCATGCGTGAAACATGGCTATTAGCGGATGCCTTGTCTGGCAGCGAAACAGTTAATTCAGCCTCATTTACTGTCTTTAAAAAAAGCATAGCTGACATGGCTGACTTGCTTAAACAAATGTGTTTTCTACTGACGGTTGAGATTAACAAACTATGGCATAAGGGGACGACGAGCGGATGGATAAGAGGCAATCCGTAATTAATGAGCGAGCTAGGACGGAAGTAGTCAATATAACTACTTGTTCAGCACTTTTGAAATGTAGAGCGACAGAATTCAGAACATGGGTCGTTCTTACAGTATTCTCCCTGTACACCAAGTCAGAACCATAGGATAAATAAAGGAGGCATAACGAAAGCTCTTACAATATTCAATGATTACATTTCTCTAAAACATGCTATAGGCTACATGTGCATCACCAAGTCAGAACAGTAGGCTAAATTATGAGGGGGAAAGAGACCAAATTATTAGGGTGAGGCACATGTACGGAGCCAGATACCTGAACGTACACAAGCAAATCCATATGTAAAATGTATGCACTCACTAACTGTAAGTCGCTCTGGATAAGAGCATCTGCTAAATTACTAAAATGTAAAATGTAATTGTTAGGATCGTAAGAAAAGCCATGCGTGAATGTGACCAGTACTGAGTATATGAAGAGGCAGGACGCAGACGCAGGAATTAACAAGGTCAACGTTTACTTAAACAATGGCAAAGAGAAATAACAAAGCTAGAGTACACGACACGAAGCTAAACAATCACATACAACATCATAATGAACAGTCCAGGGCAAAATAGGGGTGGTGATGAGATGATGAGGTGCAGGTGTGCTGGAGGTGATTAAGGTGCGTTGGTTTTCCATTCTGGTGTTGCCGAGGTGATGCGCCCAGACCGGTGGCTCAGTAGACCGGCGAATCAGAGCGCCGGAGGGGAGCAACGGGAGGAGACGTGACAGTGAAACATGAACGTAAACGTGAAATGTCATCTGTGAACATACAAACACCATGTTACGATTACGGACTAACATTTTAGGGTTGAACAAATCTTGTGTTGCAATTCTGATGTACAATAATACCTTTCAGAGTTTTGGCAGTTTTATCTCACCAACAAAAAAAAAGGACACCAAATGACCTGTGAGGAGTGCTATGAGAACAAGCATAACACAGTGTAAAAAACGGAAGTCAGGGAAACCGGAAAGAGGTATCCTGCACGTTTTCATATTAAAAGTCTCCATTCTCTATTAGTCAGTTGAGTTTACTTCACATTTAGGTAGCTAATGGAATGAATTTGTTTGCCAGCGCAAGTCTAGATAGCACTAGCTGTATTATGCCTACAACCGTGAAGTTTCAGTCCGCTAGGTGTAAAAATAGATCTGTAAACGTACAAAACCCTATGTTACGATTATGAATGAACATTTGCACATTCAATTCTTACTTTACGTCTCCCTTCACTTGGTTACAGGTCTGTTTTATGCGTACAAACTTTTGTCAGTAATGTGGCGTCTGCAAATGACATGAACCGAACGTAGCTAGTCGAAGTTAGCTAGTCAATCAACTCTAGCCCAGACGTTTGAGTTGCTTTGCAGCTTCTGGTTTCATTTCCAAAATAAAAGTCTAAAACAAGTCTGGAGCTTATTTAATAACAACGTTATATAATATGCCATTTGCAGACTTAGTCATGCGTGCATAATTTTTTTGCGTATGGGTGGTCCCGGGGATCAAACCCACTACCTTGGCGTTACAAGCGCCATGCTCTACCAGCTGAGCTACAGAGGACCAGTAGATGACATATTATAGGCTTGGGCATTCAACAAATGACTTGTGTGAGAACGATAAAGCCACAGAAGAGCCTTGTATAGAATAACTGCCTGAGCTGCAAAATAGAAAGTAAATATGATTTAGGACTATTCCGCTATCTAAATATGCCATGCTGTTGTGTGTTATTTAATGGCCATATAATTGCATAATTTATTTTTAAAGCCACGTGGTTCTATTGTGGCGATCATGTAACCTAATGAATCATACTTTTTCCAGTATTTGTGAGCACAGACTGTAGGCCTTATATTAGGCATTTTGACTGTTGTATTAGTGAATTCCACTCGGTATGTAGTCTTGTGATAGCCATTTGCGTTGCACAACCCCATCACGCAGAGGCTATATCCATATCAATAAATGACACAAAACTAAATATTGATTAAGTCTTGGCTATAACCTGTCCTGAGCTAAATAGCCAAGGGGTCCCAAATGGTCAAGACTATCTATAGCCTATTCTTATTTCCAGATCTGTTTTCCCCATCAGCCACTGCACCTGCTTCTTCAACTATTTTGTATGTTCACAGATGAAATTTCACTTTACGTTTCATGTTTCAGGCATTGCTTTTCTTACGATCCTAACAATTTACGTATGGATTTTCTTACGATCCTAACGATACGTACATTCAACCTTTTGGCAGGAATCTCGCTCCATACACATGGGCTACTAACAGCTTACTACACAACATACACTTAGTATTAGTCCTGTGTAGCTCAGTTGGTAGAGCATGGCGTTTGCAACGCCAGGGTTGTGGGTTCGTTTCCCACGGGGGACCAGTATGAAAAAAAAATTATGCACTCACTAACTGTAAGTCGCTCTGGAAAAGAGTGGCGCAGTGGTCTAAGGCAGCCGGCCGCGACCAGGATACCCATGGGTGGCACACTATTGGTCCAGCGTTGTCCAAGGTAGGGGAGGGTTTGGCTGGCAGGGATGTGGGTTTGTTTCCCACAGGAGGCCAGTAAGAAAAATAAAAAATACACAAAAAAAAACATGTATGCATTCACTAACTGTAAGTTGCTCTGGATAAGAGTGTCTGCTAAATGACTAAAAATAAAAAAAAGAGTGTCTACATAATTTTCCTTCCTCATGATGCCATCTATTTTGTGAAGTGCACCAGTCCCTCCTGCAGCAAAGCACCCCCACAGCATGATGCTGCCACCCCTGTGCTTCACGGTTGGGATGGTGTTCTTCGGCTTGTAAGCCACCCCCTTTTTCCTCCAAACATAACGATGGTCTTATGGCCAAACAGTTCTATTTTTGTTTCATCTGACCAGAGTACATTTCTCCAAAAAGTATGATCTTCGTCCCCATGTGCAGTTGCAAACCGTAGTCTGGCTTTTTTAATGCGGTTTTGGGGCAGTGGCTTCTTCCTTGCTGAGCGGCCTTTCAGGTTATGTCGATATAGGACTCGTTTTACTGTGGATATAGATACTTTTGTACCTGTTTCCTCCAACATCTTCACATTGTCCTTTGCTGTTGTTCTGGGATTGATTTGCACTTTTCGCACCAAAGTACGTTCATCTCTAGGAGACAGAACGCGTCTCCTTCCTGAGTGGTATGACGGCTGCATGGTCCCATGGTGTTTATACTTGCGTACTATTGTTTGTACAGGTGAACGTGGTACCTTCAGGCGTTTGGAAATTGCTCCCAAGGATGAACCAGACTTGTGGAGGTCTACAATTTATTTTCTGAGGTCTTGACTGATTTCTTTTGATTTTCCCATGATGTCAAGCAAAGAGGCACTGAGTTTGAAGGTAGGCCTTGAGATACATCCACAGGTACACCTCCAATTGACTCAAATGATGTAAATTAGCCTATCAGAAGCTTCTAAAGCCATGACATAATTTTCTGGAATTGTCCAAACTGTTTAAAGGCACAGTCAATTGTGATTCAGTGAATTATAAGTGAAATAATCTGTCTGTAAACAATTGTTGGAAAAATTACTTGTGTCATGCACAAAGTAGATATCCTAGCCAGTTTGTTAACAAGAAATGTGTGGAGTGGTTGAAAAACAAGTTTTAATGTCTCCAACCTAAGTGTATGTAAACTTCCGACTTCAACTGTATATGAATCAGGTCATGAACATATGGACTTTGAAATTAACAAAGGAGAGGTTAAACAGAGGCTAAGTCTGGCATAAGCTTATTCCCACACTTTACAATAACTCTGTTGCAGTGGTCTTAGGTAGTCGTATAGGCTATTCCCTCCATCGCAAAACACTGCTGCCCAGTTGAAGAGCTTGTGATCTCCATGTAGCACCACAGCACCATGCGCCTTCGGAAAAGCGCCACTCAGCCTCAGAAGATTCCCTTCTGGAGGCATGCAGTCATAGTCATTATACCCTAATGTAGGCCTATTTGCCTACTAGCCAAGTAAAGTGCAGAGCATGCATGATGCGTGCAACTCGTCATTCCAACATATTTGAACATTTAGTATGTCATCCATTCAGTAATTTGTCTGAGTTGCAATAGGAACTAAATAAAAGACAATAGAACAGTCTTATCCATTTGTTTATTGAAATGTATTCAAAATTATCTAAATTCTCCAAAGTTTTTTAGCCTATCACTTTAATAATTCTATGTTTAATTTAGGCCTATCCAAATAAAATATAGGCTTTCAACTTGTAGGCATTGCAATTTAGGCTACTGGTGTCTTGCGGAATAATTTTAGAACTCTATTTGTGTTTTATAACTGTTTTTATTATAGGCCTCCCTTTAAAAAGAAACCCCAGCTCACAGGTCTCTAAATAAATGTTTAACAAAATAGTTAGAAGCAGGTGCGGTGGCTGATAGGGAAAACAGATCTGGCAATAAGAATAGGCTATAGATAGTCTTGACCATTTGGGACCCCTTGGCTATTTCGCTCAGGACAGGTTATAGCCAAGACATTTATAGATATGGATATAGCCTCTGCATGATGGGGTTGTGCAACGCAAATGGCTATAACAAGCCTACATACCGAGTGGAATTCACTAATACAACAGTCAAAATGCCTAATATAAGGCCT